TGATGGGCTTGTTGGTTGGTTGGTTGGTTGGAGTTTGGTCGGGCCTTGGCAACCGGGCCATTCTGTCCTTGTTGGCCTGGGGTTCGAGGCCAGCCGTGGATGGATCAAGCCTGCATCTCCCAAATGGCTCTCTTCCACCCCGTTTTGTTCAGACTTGGTTAGGCATTCAGCGACTTCCCGCTCAGAAGTTCACCTTGTGGCTTCTGGGCTTGCGGGAGAGCTCAGCAGCCCCCGACAACGGGCGCCCGTTTTCCTACATGGATGTGTCTCCCGAACGTGTTTCTTCCCTTGGGGGACTCTCAGTTCTGGCTTTCAAGAGGCCTAGGGATTGACTTCGCCACACTCTGAAAAGCCATCGTTCTTTCCAGAAATGAGCCTTTTTGCCTGGATGTTGAGCGGATTTCTAGGAAAAGGAGCGCTAGAACAAGGGCCCTTCTCATTTGCTCAACCTACGCCTGGCGCAATGCCAGGCTTGACCAAGGATGAGCTGATGGCAGTCCTTCTGTGCGTTGGAGGTAGCCGCTTGGAAGCGACTCAGGCAATTCGTGGCCGAGAACCCCCCCAAAACCACAACTTCCCTCGGGAAAACTTCAAGCCACGACGTAAGGCTTCAATGGAACCTGGGTGACCCGAAAATTCGCCCAAGGAAAATGCGACGCGTTTCACCCGGGCACGAAGCATTTCGGCATACTGGCTCTTGTTTCTTGTGACGGACACGTTGTGACTGTGGAGGCAACCGCAATTCGGCTTTGCATTGCATTGGGGAACTCCCAGAAAAGTGGTTGGTGGATACAACAAATCCCCAGCTGCATGATGTTAGCACACCATATCCATTTTCCCAGTACACAATGGACGATGAAATTGGGCTGATTACTCTTATTCCTTTTACTAGGTACGTCTTTGAAGCCTGATGTTGTATGTTAGTTTGGTGCTCACCCCGGCTGAGTTCAGAGCCTCCGGTAAGCCCTCTTTGGACTCTTGGGTCTGCCTTGGCGTCTGAGTTACGGGCTTTCAGTGGGCCAGAATTTGGGAACAAGGCACTGAAAGATGACTGCCTGGATGGTGTGGGTAAGTGACAGTCAACCAGGCCTCACCACGTTAAATATAGATATTGACCGACAAAGCATTAGCATTTTGTTTTCAGCGTGACATCCGGAGGACGCGTATTCAGAGTTTCGAAAGAACGTTGGCAACCACCAGAGGGCACCCCTAAGGAAAATCGCCATCCACCTCAAAAAGTCAGCTAGGTCCCCAGTAGTGCCGTGTGCCCTTTTTTGGGGGGAGGGTTCCCCTACCAAAATAGACTACAGAAAAAAACGAAATCGGGTACCCTAAACTCTAACCTCTCTACTGGAGGACCTAGGTCAGGTACTTTGGCCCTTGACTTTTTGGCTGCTTTGCCTAGGCTCGGAGCTACCAGGAAGCCTGCTTCCGCAAGCGCAGGAGGGGAGTTCGCACAAGGCTCTCTCGCGAGGCGGCGCTTTGATCCAGGCCATGAACCAAAGATGCGCGTAAGGTTGCCGCCATCACCTTTGTTCACTTTGTGTAAGAGCACAAGCATGTGAGTATCTATTTTAAGGTACGTATGTGTAGATGTAATATAGAAGTATACAGAGATATGGAAGTGCCAGTGGCATAGAACTGTGTAAATGCAGCATTTATATAGAATCAACCATTTCCCTTTTCCGAGATGGTTCCCCTTGAATGATGCGATATGTTTGTGGTCACCCCTGGAATGCCGAGCCGTTCGGCTGAGTTCACCGTGATCTGTCAGCCGCCAACCAGGGGCAGTATACCAGGCTGGTGCCCCGTTGCATAACCAGGCAGAAGGGCTGCCTTTTGTTAGGCATCCAGTCTGACGTGTAAAAGGAGTCTACAGATCTTGATCCTACTAGGGCCTCACTGGAGTATATAGTTTTGGTTTGGCGAGGCACGCTTTGCGCAACAACATCAGGCGCCCCAATGACAAACTTCCCGAGTGTTGGCGTGATTCGGCACCAGACCACAGGTATCACCAGCATGTGACACAAATGCCAATTTGACCCACAAGCTTGCGGCACGGGTTAGAGAAGTGTCTTTTCCCATTCAGTGATGTTGACCTGCTCGCAGTTTTTTTTGCGGAAGGGCTGCCCCTTCAGGCTGCCAGTCGGCATGAGTTCCCTTCTCCAGTTTCACCCGCCGCCGGCCAGGTGATTCTGCTGTTTTGGGATCTTGCTTGATGCGAGAGATGTGCCTTCAGCAGACAGACGCTGAACATGTCAGCCCTGAATGGCAAACCGCTGCTAACGGTCCAGGCGGAAACCAGATGCCTCGCCTTGTATGGGTCCCAGCTGCAGTTGATGGCTCGGGCGTTGGCCCGAGTTGTAGTTTCCAGCTTGCGGCATGAGAAGGCTTCTTATTTTCCTTGGCCCTCATTTGGCGGGCTGCTCTGTAGAATGAACCAACAATAACAACAGGCGCCCTCCATTCCTGCCGTTTTGGTAAATGATTTGGGGCGGGTTTTTCGCTCAAATCAGAACTGATTCGCCCAGTTGCCCAAGCGAATCAGCCTTGTGACTGGGTGTTCCTTTTGTGGATTCTCATGTTGTGAAGTTGTCAAGGCGTTCTCCTTCAACTTCCAAGTGCTGCGGTTGCAGCTCTCAGGGTGATCCTTTGCAATCGAGCCAAAAGGCTCCAACTGGTAGAACCTTTCATCCTGCCAGATCCTTCATTTATTTACTTTCTTAAAGTTCCTGAACTGCAGTCACCTTTTGGGAATGTCCACCTTAGTGGCAAACAACCAGTTGTTTGCTTTTTTGTCCGGCCCAGCCACGGAAGTAGGTATGTCATAGGGCTGGTGTCCCCCAAAAATCCGGTCGTCGCCGCGGGTGCGCCCAGCCGCAAGGAGGAGACCTGGTTCGCGGCCATGAACCGCTTCCTGGCCTCCAGGCCCGGGAGGGGCAGTTTTTGGCAGCTCGCCTCGTCATGCACTCGGATTTCTGTTTTTTTTTTCATTTTTTTTCTGGAAGCTGCAAAGAAAGGCGTGTTGCGCTGTTGCAGCAGCTGGCAAGCTTCTCTTTATGAGTTTGCTTACGCAGATCAAAGGAGACCTTATTTGAAGAGTTGTGGGGGCGGGGTTTATTTGCCAGAGTCTTGCTGCCAACATGTGTCATGGACACACACTGCGTATATTGTTCTGGGACACGTAGGATGTTTGTTTCAGATAGGAGGCCAGACAAGTCCGGAGGCAGCAAGATCACAAGCGGAGCTAAACAGATCTGTCAGCACGCCAGCTCATTGTATTCAGTCAAATCAGTTTCATGCCTTAAGTTCGACAACCCATGTATCTCTAGGTGACGAAAAAAGGGGAACGACGGCTGGTGACAACCAGGTCAGAGCGACAAAGTAGTGCTCGTGATTGACACCAACCTAGTTCGACCCAACCCAACCCAACCCAACCCAACCCAACCAATCAACCAACGTGTGTTAACAAGCAGCAAGTGAGGCTTTCGACAGACATGCATAATGTTGACTCGAGAGCAATCGACCCCAGTCTAGTTTTCAAAAGGCCACCTACGTTTGCTGTTAAGTGTTGACCCAGGATGAATAACCCCCAAGCCTATGAAAGTTGAGGGGGGTTTTCCAGTGTTCCCTTCCAAAAAGTCATGCACCCCCACCAAACCCCGGGCCCAACCTATACTTCCATTTGCTTAAGAATATGTTTTATTTTCCCCTGTTTGTGTTAAAGGGAATCCATCACTACTGGAAAATATTTCTTTATTTATTTTCCAGGGGTCTTAGCCAAATGGAGGTATAAATGCACTGAGGTGTATGAATCCGGTTAGTTGCGGCACGTAAAGCTCGTGCCAGGCACGGCCAAGCGCATGGCGAGCGCACAGGCGGCGCGGGTTCTGGGGGTCATGGGCTTGCCTCCAACTGATGCAACCCATAGACGATGAGTGCTTTGAGTGGAAGAATCACTCGGCAGCATTGAAAGCAAGGGAGTGGAAGAATAACTCAGTGGAATCGAAAAGGACTCGGATATTTGAAGTGTCCAATTTCCACTTGCTTTTTGGAAGGCAAATCAACCGTTTTGACTAATTGCAGGGCGGCTGATGGTTTGACAAAGTAAGCTTAAGGTTATTTCGACAGGCACGTGCAAGGAGACATGACGCAGGCATGTTGGAACAATGTGCTCCGGCGGTTTTGCAGGAGTTCTACTGGCCACAATCTAAGACGAGCCTGGGAGGCATTTGAGAAGTCGTTGGCATTCCTGCTGGTTGTCTTGTGTTTGTCCTGTTTTTCTTCCTGCCTGCAAACGAGACACTGGCCTGTGAGCGAATATATATGAATGTCAAGGGATCGCAAACTAGCTTGGTGACTTGGCACATGACGACCATGTTTGAGACGACAGGTTGGGGTGATGTGTTGTGTGGCCTTCGTTTTGAGGGGAACAACCGTCGCTGCTTGAGAATTTTCACAGTCATTTGAACAAGTCGGAGCTTTTTTAACAGGGTTTCATGTCATTGGCTGACGCGTGTGCAATTGGTTGACTGGCGGCGCATGGTCTCCCATTGCAAAACGGTCGGATGAGTTATGCCCAGCTTTGCGCTTGCCATCTGCGCTCAGATGAGTACAGAGTTGGCCAGTTTCGTCGTGGCATGTCCTGTTTCACTGCCTTGCTGATGCATGCGGCACACATATTCATGATCTTTGGGCTGCATTGAGAGATGCGCTCCAATTGGTTCGCTTTTGCTCGAGCGGCAACAGACGAGGCTGGGGCCTCGCAAAGATCGTTGCTGTATAGCCCTTGGTAGGTGTTTTTCAACTGAGGTCGGCAGGCAAGAAGTCAAACCAGTCAGATGCCATTTAGTAGCGCGTTGCTGTTGGAGTCTGTCTGCAAGCTATTGTTGAAATTACTGTCGCCAATGGCTTGCACAATGGCACGGCAGAGGGAGAGTGAGAGAATGGCTTGTGCATGGGTACATGTTACCATATCATACGCACCAGGTCGTGATTCACCAGACCTGTACTTGTATAGCACTGGAAATCTCGCCAGTGAGATGCCGTAGCCTGCGCCTGATGAATGGGAGCACTGTATGGAATGTCGCCTCGCTGGCGGATGACATCGTCAAGGAGAAATCGGTCCAAGCTCTGTGGACAGTCATTCGCCCCGGCGACTGGGTCAATCTGTGGTAGCATCGTGCAGATTTGCCCTTGCACCCCTTATCTCGAGCCATGAGTGTGTATGAAAGTAAGTTGGGTACCATCTTAACTTTGGCGCATTCTGCTTGGATTTAGGACATTAACTTTTTGCCAACTAATGGGTTTTCCATTAAACCACTAAAGTTAAACTTTTAGCAGGGGAGCAGAAAGCAAGAGTTAATTCCTAACAGCTATTCAGCTTGACATGATGCTTGTAGAGCAAAGACCAAAATCCCATGGTTGAACGGTTGACCAAGGCTACATGGTGGCGGTTTTCCTCCTGGGCTGGGCCATGAACGTGAGCCTTTTCAATAGGTTTCGGATTGACTATGCCGCTGTCCTGAACCTATCCAAGGAAGCGCCTCGGCAGCAACGGTGGCAGCGCTGGTTGAACTGGTGAGGGATTTTGGTCCATCCACGGTACAAGGGATCCTTTGGGTTGGAGGGAATCCATTTGTATCTCAAGTGAGGGGATTGCTGGGCTCTGTGTGTGTGGCAGCGTGTATAGGCCATGAGTTTACTGGGGAGCCACCTCCAAAGTGGTTGCATATGAATCCCTAAACGCTGTCACCAAAGGGTCCCTTCTTGATATTCATAGGCTTGTTCTCTCTTCGGGGAACAATGGTTGTGCTTCGGCCAGGTGCCATCACGTATATGGTCAAGACTTCTGGTCGCCCATACCGTATAAGACAAACATAGGCTATCACCATCCGTGTGGTTGTTGGTCCTCCGTGTGTGCGAAGTTGCATTTCAAGGAAGTGGGACATGGCTCTCATTTAGGGTACAATCCAGTTGTCCCGTGGACCAGGTGCGTGTGACTGTGTTACTTTAAGAAGTGCAGCACAACACTTTCCGATCACCAACACTTTGCTGGTAAGCAGAATGCATGTGCTCTACTTGGGCGTGTCTTAAAATAGCAGGCCCAGCACAGTGGTTTCCACTTGGCCTTCCTTTGAATCAGCCCCAAAAAGACTACCCTCCAACAAACGACGCAGCCACTGCTCCAATTCCATAGGTCGGGTCTGCGACCAAAAAATGCGTGCCCTCATGAGGAGCTGGTTTCTCCTCGCTTCTTGGTGGCGCTGGCGACTCTGCTGGCCCTCTGCTTGTCGCTGGTGCGGGTCATGGCGTCGTGGTACGGAGCTTCCATCGAGCTGCTGGCGGGGGTGCTGGCCTGGTACTTGTTGGCCCTGCTGGCCGTGCCGCTCGGAAAGCACCAGAGGTCAACTGCCCACCTGGTGCTGGCGGGTGTGTCTTTTGGGGGTGCCTTGTTGGACGACTTGGTTCGATATGGAATGGCCTTCCTGGTAGGACCCAGGAACACAGGAAGAAACAGACAAATTCTCGGCAGGACCCACTTAGAACCAACCACGTCGCCAAACCAAGACACCCCACCAAAGGAAAGCCGGGGCGCAGCTCTCCTCCCCCCCCCCACCCCCCAAAGCCGGCAAAAAACCGCTAAACCTGGCGAGCCCCCAAAGCCCCCAAAGCCCCGCAGCCCCAAGATCAAGGGTGGGCCTGCTGCCGCGCATGGTGGCGAAGCACAGCCGCTGGCGCGAGCCCTTCTCCCAGGCCTTGTGGCGCTGTGTCTGGCCGGAGACCTCCAAGGACCGCGCGCGGAGCAGCGGGGCGTCGGAGCATCGGGCGACCCGCGGAAAAACGCGGCGGGGGGAAAAACGCGGGGGGTCCCACGAGCGAGGGCGGCTTCAGTCCCGGTCTTTTGGTCTTGGTTTGGTGGGGGGTTGGACGTGTTTGCTGTTGCTTTTGTTAGGGGTGGTGGTGCCCAGAGGGTGCTAGAGAGAGAGAGAGAGAACTCTCTGTTTCGCCTCTCCGTTTTGGACTCTGGCCGGGGATTAATTAAGTCTGGCCACACAAGTCAGGACCTCAGAAAGGTGGGTGCATTGCATAAGAACTTTTGCAGCTGACGCAAGATATGTTGATTCCCAGGGTCACTGAACAACCGAGGATGCATCCTTCCAGGAATGCCGTCCAAGTTCGTTTTTCAATCCCGCACCTGCTGAAAGAGCCATGTAAGGTTGCTGCACAGCCGGCCACCGGAGCTTCGGCGTAGTGATTCGAGTAAAAACAAAAACGCCTCTGTTTTCTTCTGCAACCGATCTCAAGCTGCGACTGCCAGCTTTCATAGGAGCCATGCCGCCCCTCATTTTGGGTTAACGACCAACAAAAACCAACTGTCCCTTGCCGAGCGCTCGACTCGCGCCGAAACTCCGCGCTGGTAGGAGATCCCCTTCGTGGAAGTGCTGGTGGCCGATGGGCTCACGTCTCTGGCGAAGCTCTTCTTCGACGTCTCCACGGGGGTCTGTGCCCTTGGCTGAGACGTGCCGAGCCGAAGCGCAGGGAGCTTCCTGCGAAAGGGAGGATGTGAAACCAAACTCTTGTTGGACTCTTAAGGTGTTCGCTTTTCGCGAGGTGAAACCAAGATCTTGGTTGACTCTCAAGGTTTTTCGGCTACTGCAAAACAGATAGCCGCTGAGAACCTACAGGGTGCACACAATGTTCTTTTGGGTCAGTCACGGGATCATTTTCTCCCCCAATGGCCTGCGGTCAGAAAACCGTCTCCGAAGACTCTCTTTCGATTTTGTGAAACCATGCGGGAAACCACAATGGTCTCCCATGTCAATTAGGGGCCAACATCAATTGAGTCTGCTGTTTCATCGGACATGCTTAAAAGAATGCAGCCAAGTGGGGCCCGGATGCTGGACACTTGGGTGTTTTCTTCTTCGCCCCTGGACGCGCAGTTCCATGTCAACCCGCGGAGAAACCAAAAGTCCCACCCCACCACCACCATCTGCCCCCCACCATCTGCCCACCATCTGCCCCAACCCCACCCACCCCACCCCACCTCAGCATCCCACCTCAGCATCCCACCTCAGCATCCCACCTCAGCATTTGCCCACCCCCTAATTCAGCGGCGCAGTTCGAGGTCAACCCGTGGGGAAACCAACAAAAATCCGGCGGGGCGCGGCAAGCAGCGAGGTATCGTGAGCTCCTACCAGATGCAGTCAAGCTCCCTGGGCTCGCTGGAGAACTTCACAGCCCTGGAGGCCGCCTCCTTGATCCACAAGCGACAGGAGCGGAGCGGAGCGGAGCAGCGGAGCCACCAGGGCTTCCAACATCTGCCACCGGTGGTTTGTGTGTGTGTGTGTGTTTTTTTTTGGGGTGGGGGCGGGGGGGGAAAGGGGGAAAGGGGGAGGGGAAGGTATTTTTTGGGGATGGGGGGGGGGGGGGGAAGGAGTGTTTTTTTTTTGTTTGAGGAGGGGAGGGAGAGGTTTGTGTGCCAATGATTGTTTGTCCAATGGAAATCTACCGTGCTGAGACCGATTAGTCAGTGGTGTTACATAAGGGTTCTTCCTGATGTTGCTTTTGGTTTGAAATGGGGGGCCAGCCAAAGCCCTCCACGTTTCACGTTGAAGATATTCCTTGAATAGCCGGGCTGGATCCTTCCCTTAAACTTACGCAACCCCTTTTCGGCTGGCTTTATAAGGAAAGCCCAAAGGAAAACCGAGGCCATTTTGAGATATTTTGAGGGTCTCTTAGGACACACCCAAATGGGATCTTGGAGACGTATCCTGGCCAATAGGGGCCATGATGAAGCAGGTCTTGGTTTTTGGGGGACTGGCCTTAAGGAGGGTGGTATGTACCCTTTGTGATGTGGGCTTGTCAGTCCTAGATTGTTTAAACCAACTGTAGTAATAGGTTTACTCGTTTCGGAGGATGTCAGTTTTTTTGGATACCTAGTATGGCAACCCGTGCAACTCTGAAGGACCGTAGCAGTGGACAAAGTCTTGTAAGTTAGAATTTGGGTCACCCATTTCCTTGAACTCTGCAAATTGTGAAATGTAAGCTTCCTATGTGTTACTCACTGTCAAACTTTGGGAACCCTGATATCCAATTAAAATAGCTTTGGTTTTGAGACAGCCTTTTTTGTGTGTTGACTGCAGTCAAACTTGTGGAAGATTGTGACAGACATTTTCCTATAGTCAGCCCCCAAAGAGGGGACCCCCTGGAAATGGTCCAGAAAAGGAACCCTATTCGCCACCAACAGGCCCTATTGCTCGCTATTAGCCCCTATCATGGTTGTTGGGAAACATTTTACAATTTTGCTTCTTGGTTGAGATCCAAATCCACTGAACTGCTTTTTGTTCAACCTTTGCTCCCCTTCCAACGTCAACCAAGTTGGACTCGGGGGCTTTTGACCACGAGTTTGAGCCATGGGGTTTCGCAGGAGTCGGCGGGTGCGGAGCTGGCAGCGGCCCTGGACGTGCGCCTTGGAGTGCAACTGAACCCGTGCACCGCGGGTTCCTGGCGTAGGCCTTTACCTCAGTGGTTGAAACCGAATCGACCTTCTGATATGTGCCCAGAAGTGGTGTAGTGGCGCTTGGGGGCTAATTTCGTCTCGTGTCTTTCGGAGTGGTACCACTTTTGACCTTTCGGTTTTCCCTTTTGGTCAACTTTTAGTCCCCCAAAAGGTAAACCTTTCAGTTCTGGGGCCTTTGGGCAAATGAGTCACTCTAATACGATCTCGTGAATTGGGTATTTTCCATTGGGTTTCAGACCTCATGCGGGTTTCATGGGAAGCCAGGGAATCCATGTCATTTCCTCATTTGGCTTGCTGGTGGAAGAACTCCTTGGGGATTCGGAGATCCTAACGTATGCCAAGCCTTACAGGGCATGGCTGCTCTTTGGTATGTCCGAATCGCCACCTTAGACTTGTTGGATCCTTTTGGAAACACATCTGTTTTTGTTTTTTCAATTTTCACCTACAAACCTTAGCCATCTTAGACCTTTTTTTTTGAAATCTAACATGTGCATCCAAACCTGCAATTGTGATCATTCCCTTAGCGCGTTAGACCTTTTGAATCCTTTTGGAAATTCTTCCATGTCCATCCCAACCTACGCTTTTTGCTCATTCGGCTTAGCCGGCAAGCTCAGGTGCAGTGGCTCCCCGGTGCCCTACATCGCCTGGTCCGTTCCTTTCCTGATCCGCGCCCGGCAGTGCATCATCACCGCGCGCCACGCCCCCGACGCGCTGACACGGGACCCAGGGGGAGGGTTTATTGCAGACCCGGGGGGGTACCTGGACCCTCACATTTTCGGGGAATAATGGAGAAAACAAAACAGGTTGTTGCCCCAAAATTATGGGGTGAATTCCGTTTTGTGTGAGTGGTTTGCGGGTTGAGGTATATAGGTATATCAAGTTATATGTATACTCTGAAGACCTTTGGAACCCTTTCAGGCCGTTGGGAGCTTATGTGAGGCTTTCAAAGGGTGCGCCGAGTTTGGCTGGCAGGCGTGCCTCTGAATTTTGAATGGACTGCATGAGTCCAAGTCCTGGACTGGTGCTAAAGGTAGGTTGGTTGTTCAGCTTGTAGATTGCCTCCCCCAGAAAAACGCATAAACATAAATCAAAAAGGAAGGCCCCCCCCCCCACTGGTCTCTTGCCCGTGTGTCTTCCTTGAAGCCCACCCCAAGAAGGCACACCCGGGGAGACACGGCGAGACTCGCTCCGCTTTTTGCCTCGACGGGTTTTTGGCGGAATCGAATCCTCCCGCTCTCGAAGCGTCAGGACTTGCAGCGGGTGAACTTGGCCAAGTACCTCTCGGCTCTGCCGGTGGTCTTCTTCGCCATGTGCCATGCGCGGGTGGTGCCGGGCGTCGCGGCCTCCATGCTGGGTGCCTGCGGCGCAAGAACAACTTTTTCTTTCCGGGGTCAAGCGATGGCGTTTGTTTTTTGTTGGTTGTTGTTTTTGGATGGGGACGTGTTTTTTGGGATGGCTTTAAATGCCGTTCTATTCTTTTTGTGGGTGGGGAACTGGTTTTGGGATGGCTTTAAAGAGAAGCCAAACGGGACTTCGACAGTTTTGTTGGTGGGACACGGCCAAGCCGCCTGCCACCTCCTTTTCGTCTTCCCAAGGGGGAGACTCGAAATTGATGCTGGGTGGATCTTGTGGTTTCCCTTTGAAACCAGTCAAGGGTCATGGTGTGAAAGACACCCCGCCCCATACGTTCCCCCTGAAGTGGGGGCCCTAGATTTCAGTGCGGTAACGTATGTGGGGCCAGTACTCCAGAGAGGCACGTAGTTGTTCCTCTTTTGTTATACTCCGAAAGAAAGATCCCCGCAAAACAAGATCTGTTCAGGAGGATTGCTGCTTCTAGGTGGTCCTTCTGTGAGTGGCCAAGTCTGATTTCCGAACTTACGCATACACATTTCTACACACGCTTGCTCCAACATACAAAGCAACTGTCATAGGTTTTTCCTTCTTTGGCACACGTTAGAATCTGTAATTTCCCGTCCTGCATTGCCATGTTCGCGTCAAAATATGTTTGTTCAGTTTTGGCACTCACCTGGCTGTTTCCTCAATCTGTGTGAAATTCCCAGGGAGTTGGCCGCTTAGCCTTTCTCCAGGTTGCCTGTAGACCTGACGTTGGCCCCGCTTTGCGGGGCAAACATGGGCGAAACACCCGACATGGGGGCCCAACAGCAGGACTTCATTTCTGCTTTAGGGGGGGTTCCGCAGTCCTCGCCCGAATGGGGTCCACCCGTTGGGCAAAAACGCCGCGGGTCAAAATGACAACTTCCGAGTAAGGAATTAAACCAGCAGAAGTTTAAGTGTTTGTTGGATGTGGGCTGGTTTTGCATTGGTTTAAGATTGGTTTAGTATCAGTTTAGTGTCGGTTTGAACATGTCCCCGTTAAGACTGGAGTTGGGGTCGGCGGGACATGTGCTCATCTAGAATTTGCTTAGTATTGGCTAAAGTATTGGCTGATTCTAACTCAGTTTTGGGGGTCTGGAAAAATACTTTTGTAGGGGAAGGGGATTGTCAAATGCTTGGTGAACTGCAGTGAAATTAATAGAGTTTTGCTGCTAACCTGACAGTTGGACGCTAACAAAAAAATGCCTGTGGGATCTCAACTCCAGCCATTTTTTGGGGAATCGGCCTCGTCTTTCATGTCTCCCTGTGACCCATGAAACTTCCACGTTTGTGGAGTTTGTTTAGCCCTGCATTGCTATGTTAGCAGTTTATTTCACCCTGCATTGCCACGTTTGTTGGTTTCTGAGCGCCTGTATTGCTTCGTTAGTTCAACACAGCGTATGCATCTGCATAACCATGTGTATGTAAAGCTATATGTATATGGATGTTCACATTGTGCTGCATACATATGCCTACGAATACCCAGCCCCCGCGGCGTCTTATCGCGGAGGGTTCAAAAGCAGCTTTGCCAGGCCCAGAGGATTTCGAAGTACTGTGGGCCTTGGCGGCGGTGGTGAATTCCGTCTTCGGCTTCCTCTGGGATTTGGTCATGGACACCCGAACCAATCTTCCCCCCTAAGACTTGTAATTTGAGGGGGGACCGTGAAATTTCATTTTTTGTTGCACATGTTCATTTGACGGGGTCTGCGTTGATGGCGGCGCAACTTCTTGTCCTTAATGCACCCGAGTAGTCACAAATAGGAACCAGGCTGTGGCTCCCCCTGCTATGGCTTGCGTTCAGCGTTTGTCTCCCCATTTTGGGCAAAATCTGCATTGTGTGTGTGTGTGTCTGATTCGCCGTTTGGCAGAGGTGATGAGGTTTGCTTTCGAAGGCCTTGAAATTTGAATACGATAGGTAAGATACTTGATTCACTGAAGTTCTGCGGCAGATGAGTTCGTGACTTGTCCCCTGAGGTGCCTGCGAGCTGTATGCGTGTGGGAAATATATTCTAGGGTCCCCAGTTGGCTCAAACCCCTTGACCATCACCTACCCATCCATGCAGGCAGAACATAGAGGCTTTTCAACCACTGGGTGCTACATAGCAACCAGAATGTGGGATTTAGCCAAAGGAAGCCCAAATGGGGGATATGGTACGGTAACCAGGTAGGTATTTTCTGGCCCACACCATGAAACAGCCGATCGACCCACTTCGGAGGACTGGGGCCTTTTGCACCTCACTCCCAACAAGCCCACCACCTTTGGCCTTCGCCCGCAGCTCCTATATCCAGTGGCCCCGGCGTTGTACTACTTGACGCTCAGAAAGCTTACGCTTTGCCCAGCAGGTTCAGGAATGTTGTTGTTCACATGTCATGGAGGGGCAACAAGCTCCAACATGTGCCCATGCAGGTTATGGATTGCTGGTTGGTTGCCTGTGATCAAAATTGGTTGCCCAAAGACAAGGGGCTCTTGATTCATGTGATGACTGGAAGACAACACTTGTTTACATTGGAGGTGGGAGGGACGGTAAGTGTTTTGTCGCTTGTGCGCCTGCAAGCCTTGGAATCCTTGGAGTATGCCGGACATTGGCAGCTCCGAGCAGGGATGATCAGTTTCTTAGGCCTAGTGGCAGCAGGTGATGCAGCCATGTTCTAGTTAGTCGTATTGGACATGCATGTGTTTTGCTTTGCTTGCCTCGGCCAAAGGATGATCCTGCTCAACTTCATTGGGCGAACTCTTTGGTCTTTGCGCTGGTCGGAGCATGCTACCCGGCAGTTGAATCGACTTCTCCTAGGTTGCTTGCTTGCTTGCTCACTTGCTCGTTTGCTCGCTTGCGCGTAGTCTTACTTGCTTCGTTGGTTTGATTGGTCGCTTGCTCGCCTGGCGGCTTCTTTGCGTCGCTGTTTGCTTTGTTTCACCTGTCCAAAGCATTCGTTCCTTGGCGTGCGCTTTGGTTTCGGGAGGCGCGTGAATGGGTCGCCCCAAGCTTAGGGGTAGGTCCTCGGGTTCAATTTGTTGGCCTGCTTGAAAAGGGAAACCACAGAGAGGCCGGCCTTTTTGGGCTGGTTCCTCACGCAGACACGAAGCGCCGTACACCGAAGTTCCTGAAGCTGGCTGATCAATAGCACATTCTTGTAGATCACCGGGTTGTTGTCCGCTTTTGATTTGGGAAAGTCCGGGGAGTGCAAAACTGATGACAAAGCCTGGTTCGGCCAACCAAGCATCAAACAAAATGCAACGCAAGCGGCCAACCATCCGGACAAATAGGCAAACGCAGAAGTGAAGAACATAAGCAAGCAAATAAGCAACCAGGTGATTCCATAAATGAATTGAATAACACAGGCATACATGTACAAAGAACCTAATTTCACAAACAAATAAGCACACATAAGTACAAATATCATACAACACACAATAAAATAATAACTGACATAGTGGACATAAGTAAGTAAACACCTAGCAACATAGCGCTGAAACAAAAAAGCAAAAACACAATAAACTTAAACAAAGACGACATCCAATCTCCGAGGCTACGATCTTCCTGGGGTCGTTCTTCCTCTCCAGCTGTCAGCAGGGCGCGGAGGTTGTGCGGCGCTGCCTTTGGAACTTGATGCGGGTGGAGTGGCAGTGCATCGTGAAGGGCAAGCTTTTTGGCGTCGGAACCCCATATGAATGTCAACCAACCGGTTTAAGAATAGGGGGGTGTCCAACTGGGTTTAGTGGGGACCCCATATGAGTTTCAACCAGACGGTTTAACAGGTGGGTGTCCACGTTTGGGTTTCGTGGGGAATCAGTTCTCTTTTGGAGGGAAAGTAATACAAACTAACCGGCCCGAATGCGAGGCCTCATGGGCTCTGCAACAACCCCGTATGAATTTCAACCAACATTTTTTTTGAATTAGGGGGGGGGGGTTGGCCCCCTCTCATTTGTGAACCCCCACTAAACCCAGGGACACCCAATCAATTCAGCTGGGGTTGGTTCAATCTGGGGCCAAAGGAACGGGGTTGGTGCGGCAACTCAGGGGTTGGGCTGTTGGGGAAATCACCGCCCTTGCGTTGAAGTCTTTGGGGTTATTAGTTCTACGTTGGGAACAGGTGAGCAGGTGCCTCTCTTTTTTTTGCGTCAGAGGAACGTTGACCCCATACGAAGTTCACCCAACCCATTTAATAATGTTTGGGGGGGGGGTGTTTGTGGGTTTAGTGGGGAATCAGTTCACTTTTGGCGGGAAAGTAATAAACGAATTTGTTTGTGCGGAACACCTTCTGGTTGGTTTTTGTTTTAATACGCAAAGGAAATAAGAACACCATTTGGGGAGTGCATATTTTTTGAAGATCCGGTTTGCATTTTGGTGTCCCCTTAAAAAAAGCCAAAAGGGGCGCTCCCAAATGACACACCCGTTTTGGCGGTCTCTCATTTAAGGACTCGACACAAAAATGTTTTTTTTGGGACCGTTTCGGGGTTGGTTTCAAAGGGTAAACAACATGGAAACTGAAAATAAACAGCTGAGACAAACCCAGGTGCGTTTCTGCGTGTGTGTGTGTGTGTGCTGTTTCAGGCTTTGTTTTCCGTTGCTTTTATTGTTGTGGGAGTCTTTCAGATGTTGTTTTTGTGGGTGTGTGTGTGGTTTGTTTGCGTGTCCTTGTGGAGTGGAGTTTTCCGCCAGTCGCACGAACATATGCGGGGAACTGTCAACCCATTAAATCGGGGTGCACATGTGTTTTGCCATGGTGGGATTTGATGTGCAAACTATGCAACGAGCGAGTGACTTTGAGCTTGTGGTTGAATGGGTTTTGTTTGTGTAAAAGCCATGCAATTGTGTTTTATGTGTTTCTGTTGATGCCATGGTTTTCACCGATGATCACCGGGCAAGGGGGGTTTCCGCCAAGCAGTTTTTGTTTTGAGTTTTTCCGTTGATTACCTGGTGCTCACCGATGATCACCAGGAAGAAAGGTTGCCGTTTGCCAGTTGTTGTTTTGATGGTATTCAGTTGATGTCCTGGTTTTCGCCGATGCTCGCTGGCCAAGTTGAGGTTTCCGCGGCCGGACAAGATCTTCCCCGTTTGACTCTGTGAGAGCTGGGCAGGCTTTCATGGAAATGCGGAGGGGGACATGCAGGTAAATTTTCTAGAAACGGGGTGGCAGTTGCCATGAAAAGGTTTAGGCAAGGGACTCCTTCAGCATGATGTTGCCATACGGTTGACCTAACCCCGCAATCGACCCAAGAGAAACCCGATTACTCCGGCGCAACCAAAGGAAACATCCAGGAAAGACCGGCAATGAAGATTCAGTTGTGCGATGTGAAGCTCTCGCTTGGGACTTGCGGTAGGGCTGACTTGACTCGCGAGGCAAGGATGAGCCAAGATGTCAAGCTAAGCACTCCAGACGCACACACACACACACACACGATGTGGTTGTTTCTTGTATACCGTTCCTCGGCTACGACCGAGGGCAGAGCAGGCGGGCCAATCGGGACCCAGTCTCACCATTTGAGGCCTGCGCTGGTGCGCGCTTGGCGACTTGCGAAGCGCAGCTACCTACTACTATTTCCCATAAGGAGGTATAAGATCATTATACAAATTATATAGCATATGCGTATATTATATACATATATATATGTATATACACATGTATGTAAACTCTTTGTATGTATACATAGTCATGTATGAGGTTTCAACATCTCCAGCAGCCCATGAGTCATTTTGGGGTGGCACTGGGGACTCGCTCAATTTCTGACAAGTAGCAGGCTACCGCATAGTGTGACCGTGGCTCACGTTCCGCATAGCAGTGGGTTGGGGCTACGTATCCCTCCGTGAGGTTGCTTCAACAAATCCGAGCGCCGGCCATGCATGAGAAGTTGGCCATCTTAGGTGGCCTTCGAGTCCTGAGCAACCCGGCAAGTCCAGGTCTTCCCAGAACCTTGCCTGCGCAAATCGCAAAAACAAAATATATACACATATATGTACATATGTTTTATTTTTATTTGTTTAATATGTTTATATGTTTGTATGTTTCCCCCCAGGATATGTCGTACCTGACGGTTTTTCGGCGGTTGGCCCATGGCCCATGTGCCAATTATTGGGTTCTGAAGTGGTAACCTTCACCCTCCCATCCACAAATCTGGAACCTCACAGGGAGGTCCTGCAAGACCGGTCTTCTTTGAACGGGCTACCTTGGCGGGTTCCAGGTAGTGGCCCAAAGTATATTCAAGTAGGAGATTGGAGAGGCCAACAGAACAGGGCGTGAAGCTGCAAATTCGCGATTCCAGGGTTCCAGTCTTGGTTCAGTCTTTAGCTTCTTGTTCCCTGAAGTTTTTCCCTGGATGAATCACTTGGTGGGTAACTTAAAAAAGCTCCCGACACTGAAAAGACGCCTGCTCGTTCAATTCACGAGGAGTTGTCAATCAACTGGGTTCCCATTGCGTCATTTCGCCAGGTTGCTCAGTTTTCTTCAGGCTTTCCGCCTTCACATGGCTGCTGGATGAAGATTCAGCGCCGCCATTCCCCTCCAGAAAACCAAGGTAGTAGCCTCCAGGAGGCAAAAGAGGATGAGCGCACCATGGGACTCGGGAGCCATTGCGACATGAGGCCCCTACTGGGTTCTCTTTTCTGTTTGTGTTTAGCCAGGGTGAAGTGCTTCAGTTGTTCCAGCGCACCTCGTTTTAAGATGTTTTGAGGGCTGGCGGGTCCCTTTCCGAAAACAACCCACCAACAGAGATTTGTTTTGGTTTCCTGTGACCAACAGGTGAAGGAGTCGGCCTGGCCCAATTCAGCGAGCCACAGATTCGGGAAATCTCAAGCAGATGTTTGGTTTCATGCCGAAAGGGACCTACAGTAATTACCAGACAGATCCATTGGCTGAAACCACGTGCTGGGAAGTTGGAAGTTTCTCTTGCTGCCGCAAGAGGTTTTTCTGCCACTTGCAGTTGGCGCACCCACGCCTGCAGGAACCAGTAGCTAGAGGCTCTAGGGGTACTTTCCATTTCCATTCTTTCCAGGCATCCTTCTTTCAAAAAAAACACCGACAACCCTGGGGAAACAGCTATTTGAAAAGAACAATGGTTGAAAAGACTCACTTCCTGCGTTCCGCTTCGGATTTACTCAACTTTTGGGGGTTTGGGGGTTTGGAGAATTCATTTTGGTGGCAACCAACATGTTTGGGTAACTCTTTTTTTTGCCAAGCCACGTGTCAAGAAGTGAGGCCAACTTGTCTCAGGGAGTACCTCGGATAACGACTTGTCCGGCCGCAGGCGCGTCGCGGGAAACGGAGAAGCTGTGGGAGGCATCGGCTCCGATCTCTCGCGACATCTTTCGCCTTTCGTCGTTCGTTTTGGTCTCCGAAGCGAATTTGCTGAGCCTCCGAGTTGAACTGACTTGGGATGTCTCACTTCCCGAGTTCCTGGACTTTGTGCTTGTTGGGAAGACCATGTTGGTGGTAGATGTAAAGTTTGGACTTCTTTTGGCCCATGCCCATCTACTCAGCAATTGCGATACTCAGGAAGTGAGATGTGGGAGTTGAACCCTGGGTCTTGAGAAAAAATCGGACACCCCTGGCCCCCACACCACCAGAGGCAAACATTAGTAGATTTTGTATTGACAGATTAAACCTCCAAACTGCGGTCTTGGGTGCAAGGGTGTTTTTTTCATTGGAAGCTCCAGTTGAGTGGAAAAGGGCCTTTGACGGGTTTGCCGAGCCTCCCGAAGTTGCCATACAACCTGACTGGAGATTCGCAATTTAAATCCTCCACGGTCGATGTTGTTATTTTACTCTAGAGCTGAGTTGCCCCTCAGAGGGGCGATGCTTTGCCTTGAACTCTACGAGCCTTTGTTCGGCCTAAAGTGGCATTTGCCCATTGGAACCCATTAGCAAACCAATTTCAGCTTGCGACTCGACCACTTGTGAGCTTATCCACGTTTGACCGCAACCCCGAAGCCGGAAACGATGCTGAAGCAGCCGCTGTTGCCTTTTTCTTTGCTAGGCCGCTAGGTCGATCAATATCATGTTCGCGCATCCACTTCTTTTTGTACACGCATCCGATTTTGAGTCATGTCCAAACCCGACATTGCCACAGCGGCGTGGCAGCTTCATACTTGTGAACTGCAGGCCATGTTGAAGGCATGCTTGCTCCTTCACAAATGAACTAAGAGCGGCTCGACATCATTTCTTTGGTGCATCTTGCTTGGATGTTAGGACTTTAACTTGTTGCCAACTAATGGGCTTTTCATCAAACCACTAAAAGTTAAACTTTTGGCAGGGGAGCAGAAAGCAGCCAAGATTTGCAGGATGAACCGCAAGTAAGAAAGGGGAATGGACACCAAAACGAATATGAATAAACCCGTAGAGCCTTATTTTCCGCTCGTGCAGAGAAAAGCGATGCGGATATTGCATGGCAAAGCTATGTGGTTTGTGCCTTCGGATCGGGAGAGGGTCCATCCCAGATCCCAAAAGGCACTTTCTGACTGCCCTGAAAGTAGGTCTTCCTGGCGGACCTTACCGCAGGGCTTACAGCCCTGCGGCTCCGGCAGGAGGCGCGCGGCGCGCGCGCGGTTCCGCGCGGTTCGTCGTTGGGGTCGTTGGGTCGTGTTTGGGTCGAGGTGGAACTCAGCAGGGAAAGCAGCGGATGTGATGTTTCTTTCTTTGCTTCCTATGGCTGACGTGATTTGTCTGATTCCTTGTCACAAGCAGCGATCAACATAGATGTTTGGTTCTTTTTGTTGAACCGTGAACATCCAACCCCCCAAGTTGTTTGCAGGTGGTTGTATAAAAGTGCTCGGCCCCCACCCCCAAACAAAGTGGTGGCTGGTTGGCTGGTTTTGGTACGGTCATAAAGCTTCGGTGGCATTTGGGGTTCGGGGGTCCCCCCAAGGGGACCTGCCGTTGAAGCGCGACCCGTCCAGTGCATGCCCTGCTTTCCATTCCGGGCTTGGTTGTGCCGTTGCCTTGTAGGGGAAAAGTGCCCGGATAGAGCGTTTTCTGGGAAAAGCGCCCCCACCCCCCCGCAAACACACCTCCAAGAACGGTATTTCCCAAGGAAAGTTGCTTGGGAGGGGGGGGAGAACGGTATTTTTCAAGGAAAGTTGCTTGGGAGGGGGGGAGTGTTGGGCCTGGTTTTCGTCAGGGGTGTGTGATTCAAGGGGAGGTTTTCAAATGGATACCCCATCATTCTTCAACAAACTAAATCACACACACACACACACACACATTCGTAGGCATACATTTTTATATCCATATTTGTATACATGTATGTATACTTCTTTATATATAAACATGTATTATGTAGCGTGTGTGTGTATTTACAATGAATACGTACTGTATGTACACGTTTTGTTGTTTGGACTACGTGCGCGTGAATGCGTAGATAAGCACAGTCCATCAAAGTGACATCCTCAAATCTAGGCTCTTTGGAGGGAGCCCCCCCCCCCCCCGCAAACAAAGACAACCACGTCAGGGGACCGAACAATCGGCGCATCCCCACCAGCTTAGAAATGGATTTGGGAGGAGGGTGACCCCTGAAGATTTCCGGTTATGGTGACCCATTTTCCCTTTTATGGGGAATGCAAAAATGACATTGGGGCACCCCCGAACCCCAGCCCCCTTGAGGTTGGCGGGATGTTGCAATCACAGGAAAAAGCAACCAGTATTTGTGTGTGCCTTTTACTTGTTTGGGGGTAAGGTTGGGGGCGGATATCCGCGCACGTCGGGCCGGCTGAAGCAACGGCCAGAGTGATCACATGCCAGGAGCTGACCCGGTGCTTTCGGCTCTGCTGGGTACCGCAGCAGCTCCTAGACCAGTTGGCGGCCGCCAAAGGTGCCTGGGATTCGGATGGATTCGGCGCTTGGATTCGGATGGAAATCCCGAGCTTGGTTTTTTCAACCTTCTCCAAAACGATCTTCGATTTTAGGGTGAACTCAACATGACACCGAATCTGAAACAAATACGTCAGAAGAAAAAGCGCCGTGCGCATGCTTTTCGTCGAATCGCACTTGGCTTTCGCGCAGGCGAAATGCTCCAAATCGCAAACATTTTCCTGCCCAGACGCTCCTGGGGCTTCCAATGGAAGACCCAGACCCTCTAGTGGACACCCCAGAGGGGGTTTGGGGTCTCAAAACCTGGCTGTTTTTTGAAGGCCCAAAATCA